TTAGAGGGTACAACATTGCTAGGGTTTCCTACTTGTATCACCCTGCTGCCTAGTTCATTCATCCTCGTTCACTTCTAGATTCTAACAGTCGGCTAGGGGCTTGGTTACCCCCACCATGTTGGGTACAAACTGGCAGACGTAATTTACAAATCCCAGGAAGCTCTGCAGCTCGGTGATGCTGGTTGGCGGTTTCCACTTAGCGATTGCCTCCACCTTGCGAGGGTCGATTTTAATTTCGTCTCCCGAAACCACGTGCCCCAGGAATTCCAACTCCGGCTTCAGGAACTCGCACTTGGAACCCTTCGTAATTAGCCGATTCTGCTGTAAGCGCCAGAACACCTCCTCTAGATCCTTGAAATGCTCCTCCTTTGTCTTGCTGTACACCAAGATGTCGTCGAGGTAGACGATAACTTTTTTATCAATATATCATAGAACACCCCGTTCATGGTTAACTGTAACGTCGAGGGCGCGTTTGTCAGGCCGAACTGCATCACTGTGTATTTGTAACTGCCGTAGTGTGTGCGGAAAGCAGTCTTCGGGCAGTCGTCGGCGAACACGTGAATTTGGTGGTAGCCTCCTCGCAACTCGATCTTCGAGAAATAGCGAGACCCGCGAAGCTGGTCCAGCAGGTCGTCCGCGGGATCGGGTAACGCGACTTTATCGTGGCTCGATTCAGCGCTCGAAAAAATCAATGCACATGCGTAGGCCCCCGTCCTTCTTCGGCGTGAACAGTATGGGTGCTGCGAATGGTGACGTGCTTGGCCAGATAAAACCCTTGGCAAGGAGGTAATCCAGTTGGCTCCTCAACTCGTCAAGCTCCGGTTGGCTGAGCCGCCACTGCGTTCGAACAGTAGGTTGCGCGCCGGGTTCCAGTTGTATCTTGTGATCTTCCGGACGCTGAGGTGGCAGGCCATCGGGTAGGTCATCCGCGAAATTTTCGGGATACTTCCGAATGATGCTGGCCAGCTCCCAGGAATTGCCTTGCAGATCTTCGATGTCGACGATTTCTTCGGTGGCTGCTACCTCGTACATGTGTACAACGTAGCCTCTTGCCCCCTTGTTGATTGCTCGCCGCATGGTGACGGCGTTGACACGTGTCGTCACAGGCTCCGGGTCCGTCCATTTCGGAAGCGTCGTATGCCCCGTATTTCCTCGCACGGTGCACGCCCTCGTTGTCCAGTCGATCGTCGGATTGTATCGTTGCAGCCAGTCTCGCCCCACCAGCACATCGTAGCCGTCCAATGTTGTCGCAAGCATCTTCATGCCGAACCCAAAATCGTCGCCACACTTCATCCGGATTTTTCGCGCTTCTCCTCGAATGGACAGCGGTCCCATCCACTAGCCTTGCGTTAATCTCCGGCAGACACCTGTTCAGTTTTTTTTTTTTTTTTTTTTTTTTTTTTTTTTTGACAAGTTGATGAGGGTGTGACTAGCCCCACCATCAACAATTAATTTTATTTTGTGACCGTTAACCCTCCCTACTACCAGCACAGGGTGGTCCACGTGTTCACCCACGTTATTCGTCCGATTGCGGTCGATGACTCGGATCGGTACCACAACTCGGTGTAGATGGTGATTGTCCGGCGACAGGGTCTCGTCAGCAGGGCGCCCGTCTGCTACTGACTCGTCTCTTTTCCCGACCCTTCTCCGTCGTTCCTTTTCCCCTTCTTCAGCTTCGGGCAGTCTCTTTTCAGGTGGCCCACCTGGTTGTATGCAAAGCACGGCCCGATGGCTCGGCTTGGAGCATCCACACCGTTGATCGTGGGCTGCTGAGTTGATCCACAAAATCGAGGGCCCTTCCGGGAGCTCGATCTCGCCCACTGCATCAGCGCATCAGTTGACTCGGCTTCCCCGACGGCGTCGTTAAAGCTGCATGGCCGCGTTCGTTGGACCTCATATTGAATTTCATACTTGAGGCCCGCCGCGTAGCGATCCAACCGCCCCGCGTCGCTCATATCGTCCACTTGGTCAGCCAAATTGCAGAAGGTGTTGGTGTAGTCTTGGACCGAAGTCAGCTGCTTCCAGGCACGCAGCTTCATGCGGGCTGAATTCGAGGCGGATATGTGCTCGAATTTGGCTCGCAAGGCGGCGCCCCACTCCTTCCATGTCCGTATCGTGGCCGTCCCGATAATTTAAGCTGCTCGTTGCGTGACAGGTGTCGAGGTCTCGTCGTTCGCACGTGTTGCCCCTGCCGAAGTCCCCTCGGTTTGCAGCTTGCGTCGCCACCACTCCAACGCAGGTCCTCGTAACAGTGAAACTGCAAAATTAATGTAGGTGGCATCATCGTTAATCATCGCAGCATTAAAGAACACCCCCGCTCCAACAACCATGCAGAAACAGTGACAAAATTGTCACTCGGGTTGAATGGGGGCGGGTTCGTCGGCTTAACATTGGCAGTTGTTGAAGCTGTCACTGCCGCTGGGACTATTGCTGCTGCTTATGTCGTCGTCGCTGCTGTCGCTGGTGCATGTGTCGGCACTGCTCGCGACTGTTGTTGCTGCGACTGTTGTCGTTGCGCCCGCCCTTCTTCTGCAGCATCCATGGAGCTCTCGAGCTCACTGAAGACGGCCTCGTTCGGCGTGGAGCTACTACATGCTTCATCCACGATGGGCGACTCCTGGCGCGCTTCACCACACGCCTGGTGTAGTTCGGCGTTTTCCCTCCTCATGCGTTCGACCTCCACAGACATCGTTTGCATGTTGGCCTGCATCGCCCGAAACTGTTGCATAAACTCGTTCAACTCCGCCTGGTCCATATTTCGCAGGCTTCGTCGGACGGGCAGGGAGTGGTTAGCAATTTTTATGATTTTGATGAAGGCGCAAGCGCTATCGTAGTCGGAGTGAAATAATCGTATATATTTCACAGGCCGACCGCTTTGCAGCCCATCAAGTCTATCGCTCCCCTTATACAAACGACCCCGGAAATGCGTGGGTAACCTAGAAAAGTAGCTCTGATACCGAGTGTTATGAGTTGTAATGAAGAAGAGTGCGCGGGATTCAATAACGCGGAAGTGATAACAAGTACTGACCAAATAATGAAGCCTAGCACTAATATAGCAACTGCTAGCTAGGCCGAGGTCGCGGGACCGCGAATGGTTGGGTGCAGGTTCGGGGTTGGGAAACCCGAAGGCGACGCGATGGTGGTTCGGATGGCGAGGTCGTCGGACCGAGCCTGAACTCCGAAAGTTGGAGTTTGTACGCGTACAGTGTGACTCAGTAAGGGTTTAGGGAAAAATATTTACATTTGCTGACAGCAGATCCAAATGTCCACCGAGATGTAACAGCTGATATGTGTTCGCGCAAGGTCGCTAGCCCTGCATTCCATGGCTTCCCTTCCACCCCATACTTGCGCCGAACACAACTTTCGTGCTGGCCACTTTGGGTGTCCCATATGAGTTCGGTTTCCCGCAAACCCTTCCCCACCACTCGAAATACTACGCAATGCGTGAATCAACCGTACGGAATCGCTTTGAAGCTAGTGAACCAAACCTCCAGTGCACAGAAGCGCCACCATGGCAGCGTTCCCGTTACTTCCGAACCGAGCCCCTCCCTCCCGAATCCCGACGCTCAGTCAACCCGCCGAAGTTCACCGCTCCATCCCTCCCCACAGAAACATCCAATTTCTGGGCTCCTCCAAGCATCCTCCTCAACAGGAATTTCTGGCCTCCCTCGTCCTCTTCTTCCTCCACCTCTTCCTCGTCCTCCTCACCCTCTTTCATTTGTCTCAAGCGCGGCGCTCCACTTTCGGTTTTAATTTCCTTCGCAAGACTTCATACTAGCATATCCAGAGCCGGTATTCTTCCCGAGACATGCATTTTTCCCAGATTGACTCCCGCACAATCCTCCCAAATGCGGCACCCCTGCAAGTCGATAGCAGCACAACCTCACTCCGTTCCCCTGTCTCCCCATAATCTCGCGGTTTATTCGAAGCCCTCTGTTTGGCGCTGACCATCCACCCATCTTCAGATTATTTTTATAACCTTTCGTCTTCGTTTAAAGTCTTCTTCAAGTCCCCATTCTAGATCACGCTTTCCGTTTGTTCTCATGGCGCAAAGATTTCTCCAACTGCTTTGGCGGAACTCCATGGCGTTGGCGCGCCACGTGTACTAGTCATCGTCCCGCGTGTCTCGCCACGTGTACTACTCGACCTCCCGCGAATCTTTCTGTCGCATGAGCTCGCTTACAAGCGCGGCTGAAGGCGATTAATCGCCAGATGTGGGACCACCTAGCTGCCGTACCTTGCCGCTGCTTTTACTAAAGCGACTATCCGAACCTCGACTTTTTAGTGGTTCTTTTGAGGCGCTCGAAGCTCGTCCCGTTTTCGCGAGAGACGGGGAGAGAACATCTTTACTTTCGTGAGCATTCTTGTTTTGCGCGCCGACGCGCCGCGCGTGTAGGGGTAGATCAGTGGTAGTAGGCCGCACATTTCCCGGCGCTGCGGCGCCGACAGCGTTGGAGTACCAGCCGTCGCGGGAATCGGGCCTGTCAGCGTTCGTCAACGCTCGTCAACTCTCATCGACGCTTGTCGACGCTCGCCACCCGCGTCGTCAGCCTCTCCCTAGTATACTCGTCGTTGCGTCGCGCCCTGCACCTCTATTTTCACCACTCTCCTCGCTCTCATTCCCTATCGATAAAAACCGAGGTCTCGCAACCTCGCAGCGGCTGGGTTCAGAGGTGCCCGAATAATAGGACGCACGTTCACGCTCTCGCAACGACCGGTTCAGTTGTACGCGGAACGCGCGCGCGCAGTGGTGGTTACCAGGCTTCCTCGGCACCGTTCCGCCTGTTCGCGTCTGCGGCCGCGGTTTGTACAAGCGATTGTGACTGCTGGTGGCTGAAGCGGCTGCGCCTGGGGCTCCTTCAATTCCTGCTCCCGCTTTAGGCTTGTCCGCCATTCGCCATCCGTCATTCACATTCGCCGTTCCCGCATTCGACACTTGGGTCATTCATTCGCCGTTCCGTATTCGCCGTGGTGGTGGGACGGAGTAGCGGGCGGGCGCCATGGGCAAGAGAGCGGTGAAGAAGTCGGTGACAGAGTACAAGTGCGAGCGACTCAACCAGATCGTCAAAGGTGCGCCATACGCCGCGCGCGCGCGTGCGCGTGAGTGAGTGAAAGAGTGTCCGACATACCGTCGTACCTTCTGCTGGACGAGTTAGGTGAGTCAGTAGATTTCCGTCTTTAATATATCGCGCAAGGAGCGGCTGAATCGGGTGCGCGTCGCGCGTGCGACAATGTGTTGCGCTTCGCGCATGGCGCTTGGTGCTGCTGCTTCTGCCTCCGCGTGCACGCTGCTCGCATCCGTGCACGCACGCATGTGCGCAGCTTCTCGTCATGCGGTTACTTCGCAGATAACCTGGTAACCCCATGACTTACAGGGTCGTCTGTATGCGATACTCCTCCCCTCGCCTTCTCCCCATTCTCTCCTCATTTCCTCCTTTTCCCCCTCCCTCCCTTCCCCCTATTCCCCTCACCCCTTTCCCCCTCCCCCATCCCCTGCCATCCCCCCTTCTTCCCCCCACCCCGTCCCCCTCAACCCTCCCCCCCTCCTCCCGTCCGCGCGCTTCCGCCAGTGGGCGACACAGTGATGCTGCGCCCGCCCGCGGAGGACACTCCGCCATACGTGGCGCGCGTGGAGTCCATCGAGGTGGAGCGCGCGGACACCAAGGTCCGCCTGCGCTGGTTCTACCGCCCGGAGGAATCCCTGGGCGGGCGGCGCAACTTCCACGGGTCCAAGGAGCTGTTCCTGTCGGACCACTTTGACGTGTGCAGCATGGACGCGGTGGAGGGCGTGTGCCGCGTGCACTCCTTCAAGAGCTACGTGAAGCTCGCGGCCGTGGAGGCGGAGGATTACTTCTATCGGTTCGAGTACAAGGCTGCTACTGGGACTTTCAAGCCGGATCATGTCGCTGTGTGCGTGCGCGGGTTGGGGGGGAGGGATGGGAGAGAGGGGAGGGGAGGGGAGGGGAGGGGAGGGGAGGAGAGGGGAGGGAAAGGGGGAGTGAGTGAGTGCGGGTGAGGGGGTGGAAGCCTGGAGTTTAGGGTTGGCGAAGAGAAACTGGAATGAGTGGGGGAGTGAGAAAGATGCTTTTTTCGTCAGCCCTCTGTGTCTCTGGCCTCCCGCCCCCCTTTCCCCCGCCTTGCCCGTGTGCATGCTCGCTTGCTCATTTGCATGCCTGTGTACTCATGCCCTCTTTCGCCCAACTGCTGCTGTGCTCCCATGCGCGTGTCCACGCGTGAGCAGGTACTGTGTGTGTGAGATGCCCTATAACCCCGACGATCTCATGGTGCAGTGCGACAGCTGCAGAGACTGGTCCGTCCCTGCTCCTCCTCTCCACCTCCTCTTCTCGTGCTCCTCTCTCGCTCCTCTTTCTCTCTCGCCCCGCTTCCGCTCTCGCCCCTCTTCCTCTCTCGCCCCTCTTCCTCTCTCGCTCCTCTTCTTCGCTCGCCCCTCTTCCTCTCTCGCCCCTCTCCCTCTCTCGCCCCTCTTCCTCTCTCGCCCCTCTTTCTCTCCCTCCCCTCTTTCTCTCTCGTCCCTCTTTCTCTCTCGTTTTTCCTCTGTCTGTTGATTTCCAGATCTGCATTCGTCCGTCCTTCCCTCCATCCATTCCCCTCCCCTCGCTCCCAGTCTTCTCTCCCTCTTCCCCTCATGCCTTGCTCTTCCTTCCCATGCCCGCTCTCCCTCCATCTGTCCCTTTTCCTTTCCCCTCACCACTGTGTAATCACCTATCCCCCCTCTCTTCCTTAGCTCCGTCCTCCGCCACCCTTCCCTCGCTCCTCATTTTCCTCGTTTCACTTTGTCCTTTTCCTTTTCCCCTTTCCCTCCTCCCTTCCCTCGTCCCTTTTCTTCCTCCCCTCCCTTTGCCCCCTTCCTTTCCTTACTCCTTTCCCTCGCACGTTCCCATCCTCTCTTCCCTCCTCCCCTCCCCCCCCCCTCCTCTTTCCACCTCCGTTCCCCTCCTCCATTTTTCTCCTCTCGATTTCTCCTTCCTTTCCTCGTTTTCCCCCTCCCTTTCTCACATACTCCCCTCTCCTTCTCACACACCCGCCTCTCGCCCTCACACTCCCCTCCCCTCCCCTCGCTCTCTCTCCCCCCCTCCTCTCTCACACCCCTCCCCTCTCACACCCCCCTCCCCTCTCACACCCCCCTCTCCTCTCACACCCCCTCTCCCTCTCACTCCCTCCTCCCCCTCCCCTCACACGCGCACCACACACCCTGGGCGGGCAGGTTCCACCCCACGTGCATCCACCTGACGCCAGAGCAGGTGAAGAAGATGACGCAGTTTGTGTGTGACAAGTGCCTGGCTGAGGGGCAGATCCTCGCCGGCAAACCACAGCCTCTTCCCGCCACTGAGTCCAGTACACTCACTGTAAGCACGCTCGCTGTAAGCACGCTCGCTGTAAGCACGCTCGCTGTGAGCACATTCACTGCAAGCATGCTCACTCTAGTAAGCACATTACAGTTCTGTATAATCAATTCTTGCCTCCCTCTTTTTTCTCCTCCCATCCTCCTCCTTGTCTTCTCATTTCTCTGTTGATGTTCGTGTTCCATTCTTTTCTTTCCTCCTCCTCCCCTCCCTTCCCCCCTCCCCATCCCCCCCCACTGCCCCCCTGTGCCATGCTCATTCCTCCCCCTTTCTCCCTCACTCATGTTTTATGCTGTTTTAGGCGTCTCAGAAAATAATATCTCCTCCCCCTTCATCTGTTTCTTAGGCGCCTCACAAATACTCCCTGTCTCTCTCTCTCTCTCTCTCTCTCTCTCTCTCTCTCTCTCTCTCTCTCTCTCTCTCTCACACACACGCACACGCTCTCTCTCTCTCTCTCTCTCTCTCTCTCTCTCTCTCTCTCTCTCTCTCTCTCCCTCTCCCTTTCCCCTTCTCTCCCTCCCTCGCATGCAGGGAGAGCGGAACCCGAAGCGTTCAAAGCGGTGACCCTCCACACTGCACCCTCTTGCAAGCGGGGGGCAGTGGGGGGGATGCGGAGGGGGGAAGGGTGCTCAAGCAGTGACCCTCTCGCGCGCACACTGTGCTTTCTCTGCGTCGTCTCTCTGAAGACTTATGCGAAAGAGGGAGAGGGGGGATAGGGAGGATAGGGGGAGGGGGAGAGGGAGGGGGAGGGGGAGGGGGAGGGGGAGGGGGAGGGGGAGGGGGAGGGGGAGGGGGAGGGGGAGGGGGAGGGGGAGGGGGAGGGAGAGGGGCAGAGGGAGGGGGAGGGGTTGATGCCTCTCCATACATGGGTTTGAGAAGCCTTAAGAGACGTTCCTGTGTACCCACTTCCAACCACCCTCCACTCCTCCACCGCTCGCGCACTCACTCCCTCCGTCCTACCATGCCTCCTGCTCTCCGGCAAGGAGAGGCAAGGAGACACAGAAGGCTCTTTACCAACACCTCTCCCCCTCTCCCTTGTCCCTCTCCCCTGTTTCCCTTGTGTAAATTCCTCCTGAATTGAGACGACTGATAATGCGTCTCAGCTTACCTTCCGTAATCCCCTGCCCAAACTTCCTCCTTTAGCAGACTCATGCCGTGTCTCCCTCTCAACCTGTGCCTCTGCCCCCGGGCCCCTGGGACCATGCTCTAAGCTCCTGGGGCAGATGGAGCATTGTTTTGTCAAGAAGGGGAAGGGGAAGGCAATGAGCAAGGGCTTTATGCGATTTAGGGGCAAGGGCATTATGAGATTTAGGGGAACCCTAAATCCTTGCAAATGGGGCAGGTGCTGGATTCTAGCCAAAGCAGCATCTTCGCTAGAGTGTAGGGTGTCTGCTTAGTGTACTCGGAGTGGCAAGGGCCTTGGTGTGGGCCGTCGGAGGGTTTGCACTTGAAAGAAACCCCTTATGTTCATACTGAACCATGTTTTGATGGGGCATGTTGGAAACAAGTGATTTAAGCGCTATTGTTGTGTCGAAACACTAAGTTGTAAACGAAGCAAAGCACAACGAAGCATCGGCGAGTCAACCATCGGAGGTTGAAGAAGAAAAGTAATTGCTGGAGGTTACGCGAAAGTCAAAGGTCAGCGACCTTTGACCTGACAAATACAGCACGACAGCAAGGACAAACAACTGACTCGTTATTGAGCAGTTGCCCGAGTCGTCACTGTATCGAACCGCAACAGCAACAGTAAAACGGTTATTAGCTGTATCTCTTCGTATTCCTTGTACTCTTATAAAAATATTGTATCTCTATGTTTTAATTAATCGATCTTGCCCTCACATACTAGCGCAAGGTGGTTCAATACTTATCATTGTAACGCTTCCGCAAATACAACATTCTTACTCTGAGTTTAGCCTTGCAAAGATCCTAAGGGCTTTTTCTCAGCCCAACATGGTATGAGAGCTATCAGGGCAAACTCAACTGCTTCCAAGTTACCCACAACATCAGAAGGCATGGCAACGCAGAAGGAGAGAAGCTCCTCTAACGGTTCTCCTGGCACTACTCCTACTCCACCTCCTGCCTCTGGCCTACAGACAGAGGGGGGCACAGCAACAAGACCAGCAGCTGAGTCTACTGAGACTCCCGCGAATCAAGCGACAGGCTTCGACCCAAGCATGATGGAGAATTTTTTCTCCTTCATGTCCTTCTACGAGCAGCATCAGCAAACGGCACCTGCCCAGTCAAACATCAGCAACAACAACAACGACGTCACGCCCATGAGCCTCGACGGTTCATCCTATGCGCGCGGAAACCAGCAGCAACCCACCTTCGCTCCGTACGAGCCTCAACGTGGCTCAATCAGCTTCATGCCGCACCAGCAGCCTCAACCTGGACAGGAGAAAACATTGGATGCACTTCAGGTTCAATCACAGTTCGCGCACGTTTTGAAACTTCAGACATCAACACCTTTCGACGGGAAGGACTTCTATACCTGGTCATTTGAATTTGAGCTGATGATGGAAGGCGCGCAGATTCTCGGATTCTTCGACGGGTCCCTGCCATACCCAACACACGGAACGCAATACGACAAGTAGTAGTACACGTACCAGTCAATGATGGCATACACAGTCCTGCTGAGGAACATAACTCCAAACCAGCAGCAGAACATCCGGTCTTATCGGGGATACGGCAACTCCGCCGAGCTCGCGTACAACCATTTGAAGAACCTGTATCAAGCAACAGACAGCGTCAATCAGAGTCGGTTAATGGCACAGCTGACAACAGTGGAAATGAAACCAGGCGAAAAGGGAATGGCGTATATCAGCCGCTGTCGCGAATTGCGCGACAAACTCCTTCGATGCGGAGGATCGATATCTGAAGAAGCCTTCGTCACAGTCGTCATCTCCGGTCTTGGTCCTCACTGGCGCTCCACCCGCGCCATACTCCGAGCTCACGGGAAGATCTCCGAAGCGGCACTCTGCGCCGAAATTCACGCCGAACAACAAGACATGGACCTGCACGAGGAACGACACAAGAGAAAGACATCAGTACCTGAATTCGCATTCCACACCCAATGGCGCTTCAACAACTCCAACCGACAAAACAAACAACAACAGCAGCAGCACGTACTGCCGTTCTGTCATCTCTGCAAGACGTCTGGACATCCCCGTACACGCTGCCCAAGTCTGCGACAGCCAACACCACCGCAACGACAACTTCGGCCTTCAAGAAGTCAAGTCGCCTCAACACAAGCGCATCCCACTCCTCAAGCTCAAGGAACGCCGACAACTCAACCTGCACAAGGGACAAGAAACATCGTGAGCTGCATGGCGAGACTGTCAGACTCCTGCATCACTGAGTCACCACCGTACTACTCACCAGAAGAACAACTTGACGAAAGCACTCCTCGCCGCGAGACACTGGAGCCGAACCCGACATACGCAGCCATCGCCCAGAGCGAGCCGTCCGGGAAAGACACTTGGTTCTTGGACAGCTGCTGCGGACACCATATGTGTTCCTCGGGTCGCTTCGTTCAACGGGAACATCAACTTCAGCGCGAAGTCGTCATCACCGTCGCCAACAATCAGAACCTGCGCACACGACGACAGGGCGTAGTTCAACTTCAGTCACGAGAGACCAACGTCATACTGCAAATGTCAAAAGTTTTAATAGCGGAGGGACTCGGCTACAACCTACTGAGTATCAGTCAGTTGATGGCGAAAGGCATTCACCTCGAAGCAGACAGCACCACCCAGGAGTTCCAAGTTGTATCACGGGAAAGGCGGACTTTACATCGGGAAGGCGGTATTGAAGAACAACGTCTTCGTCCTCGACTCCGTTCCAGACCTCGGCACCGCCGACAACGACGCCATCGTCAACTTCACTTCCTGGACACACCCACCTGATCTCGATCCCGACTTCAGCCCCGGCGGTTTTTGGTACTCCAGCACGGTACCTGAGGCAGAACGAACATGAGCATTAGCAACAATTCAACAAGCAGCAGCAGAGACAACATCGACATCAGCAGCGACAACATCGGCAGCAGCAGCGACAACATCGGCAGCAGGAGCGACAACATCGGCAGCAGCAGAGACAACACCGGCAGCAGCAGAAACAACATCGGCAGCAGCAGAGACAACATCGGCAGCATCAGAAACAACATCGATCACGACACCAATCGCGGGTCCTTCAACGGTACCAGCCCCAATCGACGACGATACTCCACCGACCCCTGCGCAGCAGTTGACTCCCACTCAACGAGAAGTCCATAGAAGCACCAACTTCACCGCTGGCTTTTACACCAACTCTGACTTGTATAGGCGCTCACCCGGACATCGCGCTGGTGAAGACATCTGGCACGCACGAATGGGACACCCGAGCAACACGACGTTAAATAACACGATAAGAGCAGGCGTACTCGACAAAGATTCCCTACTCCTACCCGACGGAAGAGAACTTCAACGAGTGCGAGGAACATGCCTCACCTGCCCTGAAGCCGACTTACCGCATCAGCCTTTCGTCCCTCACCACAACCCAAGTGCACCGGCATACGCACCTCTGGAGAAGGTTTACAGCGATATACTGTACAATCGCGAGCCCGGTCAAGGAGCGTACAACTACGTTATCACCTTCATCGACGCCGCCACACGATATGTCTGGCATCTTAATCTTCCAAGTCGCGACATGGCCTTCGAAGCCTTCGTCGCCTGGCTTCCAGTAGCAGAACGAGAGTCAGGGGTGAAACTGAAAAGTTTCCTGTCAGACGGGGGAGGAGAATACACATCACAGAGGTTCACACAGTACCTGGCGGAGAGAGGCATCAAGAGACTCCTCTCTCTTCCCTACGCTCATCAACAGCAAGGTGTGGCAGAAAGGATGAACAGGACCCTCCAGAACACCATGCGCAAACTGCTACGTGGCATGCGGCTACCCAACCACCAGTGGCCTGAGGCGATGGACCATGCTGTCCTACTGCACAACTTGCTTTCGTCATCATCACTCCC